ACTAAACACAACAAAATTAATATCCTAACAAAATTTTAACAAAATTTTATAATAAAATTTAATAATTTTTTATACAATATTTTTTCAATAACATCTCAATAAAATTTTTTTTGAAAAAGTTGTTTTTAACCAAAACACACACTAAAAGACTTTCATAACAATTAGACTCTTGTACTAAGTGTTTATATATATATATATATACATATATATATGGGATAAGCATATACTTATATACAAATTTTATATATCACAATTATATAAAATTTCAACTATTCAACTATTCATCTCTTCACTTTTAATTATTGAAATTTATTTATATTTACTAAAAATAATTTTTTTTTATCTAAAAAGTAATGATAAGCTCAATCATTAAAAGTAAAATAATAAATAATTAAAATTTTATATAAATTTTATTTATAAAATTTATATATAAATGAATTCCTCCCATATGGGTGTATATATAACCTCCTGTATTAAATGACTACTAGCCTTTTCTGTTTTGCAAAGCTCTTCTTTACAAGAAGTGTTAGGGGCAATCCTCTAGCTCTCTTTTAGCGACGCTCAAAATATCGAATCATAAAAGAATTTAAATTTTAATAAATGTAGGATTAAATTTCAAATAAAATTTGAGAATTTAAAAAATAAAAAATTGAGGGACTAAAATAATTTTAATTACTAAATTAAAGGATTAATTCTTCAAAAGTAACAAAGAAAAAAGAAGGTCTAAAAAAAAAAAAGAAGGAAGGAACGAGCTGGCATGGTGCTGCTAGTCTGCTACGTTCGTTCAGCCTCTATCGATCCTTAATGACGGTCACCCTCTTACTAGCTGTTCAATGTTCGCTGTAAGCAAGCATTCAAACGGCATGGGACTATAGGATAGGGGCATCAGGTAACCAGGGATTAAAGAATGTATATCAAAGGGACATAAAAATGTAGTTTGGTGCTAAATATAAACCTGAGGCAAAAAAACCCTTCTTAAGCCCCTCAACATTTCCAACAGTTAGTGACCAGCCCCTATACTGAAAATGAAGCAAATAAATCCCTCTGTTAACTGAGCCCCTCAACGCCACTTGTTTAATGGCTTACATGACATTTAATTTACATGTTGCATCCAACAAACAGCGGGATAAAGTGACCAAAAAAATAATTATATGATTTACACGTTGCATCCAATAATCATTTGTAAATTAAATTCCATGCAAGCTATTAAATGAACAACGTGGAGGGGTTCAGTTAACCGAGGGGCTTATTTGCTTTAGATGAGGGGTTGGAGGGTTTATTTGCATCATTTTTAGTTTAGGAGCTGGTCACTAACTGTTGAAAAAGTTGAGGGGCTTAAGAATG